CTATGTCTTGGGGTATATATCTATAATATTACTATGTCTTGGGCTATATATCGTATTACTATGTCTTGCGCTATATATCTGTAGTATTACTGTCTTGTGTTATATTTCTGTGCTATATATCTGTAGTATTACTGTCTTGTGTTATATATCTAGAGTATTACTATGTCTTGGGCTATATATCTGTAGTATTACTATGTCTTGGGGTATATATCTATAATATTACAATGTCTTAGGCTATATATCTGTAGTATTACTATGTCTTGGGCTATATATATGTAGTTTTACTATGTCTTGGGCTATATATCTATAATATTACTATGTCTTGGGCTATATATCTGTAGTATTACTATGTCTTGCGCTATATATCTGTAGTATTACTGTCTTGTGTTATATATCTGTAGTCTATGTCGTGTGCTATGTATCTGTAGTATTACTATGTCTTGTGCTATAAATCTGTATGCTATATATCTGTAGTATTACTATGTCTTGTGCTATATATCTGTATTAATACTGTCTTGTGTTATATATCTAAAGTATTACTATGTCTTGTACTATGTATTTGTAGTATTACTATGTCTTGTGCTATATATCTGCAGTATTACTATGTCTTGTGCTATATATCTGTAGTATTACTATGTCTTGTGCTATAAATCTGTATGCTATATATCTGTAGTATTACCATGTCTTGGGCTATATATCTGTAGTATCACTATGTCTTAGGCTAAGTATATGTAGTTTTACTATGTCTTGGGCTATATATCTGTAGTATTACTATGTCTTGGGGTATATATCTATAGTATTACTATGTCTTGTGCTATATATCTATAGTAATACTGTCTTGTGTTGAATATCTAGAGTATTACTATGTCTTGTGCTATGTATCTGTAGTATTACTATGTCTTGTGCTATAAATCTGTATGCTATATATCTGTAGTATTACAATGGCTTGTGCTATATATCTGTAGTATTACTATGTCTTGGGCTATATATCTGTAGTATCACTATGTCTTGGGCTATATATATTTAGTATTACAATGGCTTGTGCTATATATCTGTAGTATTACTATGTCTTTGGCTATATATCTGTAGTTTTACTATGTCTTGGGCTATATATCTGTAGTATTATTATGTCTTGGGGTATATATCTATAATATTACTATGTCTTGGGCTATATATCGTATTACTATGTCTTGCGCTATATATCTGTAGTATTACTGTCTTGTGTTATATATCTGTAGTATTACTAAGTCTTGTGCTATGTATCTGTAGTATTACTATGTCTTGTGCTATAAATCTGTAGTATTACTATATCTTGTGCTATATAGCTGTAGTAATACTGTCTTGTGTTATATATCTATAGTATTTCTATGTCTTGTGCTATGTATTTGTAGTATTACTATGTCTTGTGCTATAAATCTGTATGCTATATATCTGTAGTATTACTGTCTTGTGCTATATATCTGTAGTATTACTATGTCTTGGGCTATATATCTGTAGTATTACTATGTCTTGTGCCATATATCTGTAGTATTACTATGTCTTGTGCTATATATCTGTAATAATACTGTCTTGTGTTGTATATCTAGAGTATTACTATGTCTTGCGCTATATATCTGTAGTATTACTGTCTTGTGTTATATATCTGTAGTATTACTAAGTCTTGTGCTATGTATCTGTAGTATTACTATGTCTTGTGCTATAAATCTGTATGCTATATATCTGTAGTATTACTATGTCTTGTGCTATATAGCTGTAGTAATACTGTCTTGTGTTATATATCTATAGTATTTCTATCTCTTGTGCTAAGTATTTGTAGTATTACTATGTCTTGTGCTATAAATCTGTATGCTATATATCTGTAGTATTACTGTCTTGTGCTATATATCTGTAGTATTACTATGTCTTGGGCTATATATCCGTAGTATTACAATGTCTTGTGCTATATATCTGTAGTATTACTATGTCTTGTGCTATATATCTGTAGTATTACTGTCTTGTGCTATATATCTGTAGTATTACTATGTCTTGTGCTATATATCTGTAGTATTACTGTCTTGTGCTATATATCTGTAGTATTACTATGTCTTGGGCTATATATCTGTAGTATTACTATGTCTTGTGCTATATATCTGTAGTATTACTATGTCTTGGGCTATATATCTGTGGTATTACTATGTCTTGTGCTATAAATATGTAGTATTACTATGTCTTGTGCTATATATCTGAAGTATTACTATGTCTTGGGCTATATATCTGTAGTATTACTATGTCTTGGGCTATATATATGTAGTATCACTACGTCATGTGCTATCTATCTGTAGAATTATTATGTCTTGGGCTATATATTTGTAGTGGTGTGGGTATTGGGAGGGGCAGTGTGTCCGGTGATGATCAGAGTTTGTCTGAATGGGCCATCCTCATAGTTGAGGAGTGCAGTCTAATTCCGTGGTGTGCTTGTGAACGTTTATTGATCGATTACCCATTTAACAAACATTTCTCGTGACACCACAGTTCTCCTATCATGAGCGTTACTCCCAAAATATCTCAGTCTTCGCTTGACATATACTTTGAATATTCCTATGTTTTTTTTTTCAACAGCGGTTTGACCTCGAGTCTTCAGAGGCTTTATATATAGAAATGAGACCAAAAAATAAACTCAACGGCTTCCTTTGCACAACGAATATCACTAGCTTTACAGATCGACTACCGATCCCGTTAAAAGCATGTGCTATTGATTCCCACTGTCTCGCACAGGGGGTGTAGTACGCAATCGCTTTACAGGCGAAAGCAAGGGCCACACCGGCTACCAGCGCAGCGGTGATGCGACAGTCCCGTATGTGAGTCTCAGCTGGGCCAACCTGTGGCATCACAACACCAGCAAGGTGTGGCGAGTGTGTATATGTGTCATCTGGATGGTGCCTGTAAGTGGCGTGTCTCATGTGTGTGGCGAGTGTGTATACGCATCATATGTGATTTCGTCTGTAGGTGACTGGTACTATCTAATTGCCGTGCTTGTATGTGTACCATACTGTCTACTCATGCATTGTATCGGAGATTTATGCGCTAGTCTGTGACACTGTACCACCAGCGTGCACACATCCACACCGGGTGTGGGTCTGTCCGTGGATTGGTGCTGTACATTCGATATTTGGCCTGCATGTAGGACGGCTGGTATCTGCCGCCAACACACCACAAGCTTCTGAATCCTTATTGATAGCAACGAGGTAGTGCGTATTCGAGTATTAGAAGGTATTCTCGTTCACGTATTGAAAAGCACCACATGCCGGTGATCCCTCATCGCATACTATAGCTGTTTCTTGTTGGAATATGTCAGTTGTGTTTTATCCGAGGAATGGATGGTTGATTGCCCCGAGTCACTTGTGTTCATCTGGTTGTGCACCGTGACAGTCGTCTCGTGCTGGCTATTCAAGTATATCTACTTCACACTCCCGCAGGAAACACACATCGCAACACACAGCTGTTCTAATCGGAAAGTCACCCTATACATTAAACACCTAATCACTAATCCTACGCTTCCAACGCCCTACACATCTCAGTACACAATTTTTCTAACTGGATATTTATACTAGTCGGATACATATCTACTTCATTAACCTTACCTATGTAAACGTCTACTGCATTAACTCTACCTATGTAAATGTCTACTTCATCTACCCTACCTATGTAAATGTCTACAACCTTAACCCTACTTATGTAAATGTCTACGTCATTAACCCTACCTATGTACATGTCTACTTCATCAACCCTACGTATGCTTCC